AAGAAGTAACAAAGGCTAGTTTAATAGTAAGTTGATTATATCTATTCATAATTAATCCCATGTTTTATGACTTTCAACTATTCTTTCTTGCAATTATTTTTCCTCTCCCTCTGACACTCCTATATGTGGATGTTGCATACTTAATGATGTCTTGTAGACTTCTGAGGCTCTTTTCATTTTCTATCATATTTTGCTTCTTGTATTCAGACTGGATAATATCAGTTGACCTAACTTCAAGTTTGCTTATTCGTTCTTAAGTGAGATCTCCTGTTGTGCTCCTTTAGTGAATCTTTAATTTCAACTAACATATTTGCTAACTCAAAATTTCTATGTATTGTACAAAATTCCCATCCTGATATTATTTAATTAGACAACATTATAATACTACCTTTAATTGTTTGGACACGATTTTGTTCAGGTCTTAGAATGTATTTTTACTGGTTAATTCTAATTCTTTGTCCAATATGTCCAACAGCTGTGTGCTTCTGGTCAGTTTCTATTGTTTTTTTGGTTTCTCCCTCACTATGTGGTTTAGACATTGTATCTTTGCCAGTCTCAAAATTTTTGTGTGTGGAAAATTGAATATTTTAGAGAAAAAATAAAAAAGCAGCAAGGCAACTCTTAAATCACATTTTTTCTTCTTTCTTTCTTTCTTTTTTTCTTTCTGTGTTTTAGTGACTCTCATGTACTCACTAAGCTGTTCTTGTGGATTACATAATAAAATGGAATTTATAGGTGTTATCTAAAAGATATTCAGTAATGCCTTCTCTACTTTTTTCTTTTTTAGATTTTTATTAATATGAATAGAATATATTTCATAGATAAAATTCTAAGAAGATAACCATACTTGCTTCCCTTCCTCCCTCCCTCAAATCCATCTCCTTTCTTTCCTTAAAGTTTTGTAATAACATATTCTTTATTTCATATACACAATTTTAAGAGCATAATGATACTTCTCATATACCCTCTTTCTCTCACTCCTATTCTCCCTCTTTCTTTTCTTATTCAAAATTATTCTAAGGAAATATTGATAAATAAAAATTCTCTCTGTATATGTGAATAAATTCAATTGTCTATAAATGTGAATAAAAATGGTAGAGACCATTTTTATAAAAGTCTTTTTGTGAAATTACAATTAAAAATGTATAACTGTGTATTCAATGTCTATTTGAAATCAGATAACTATTTTAAACAATTTTTCCTACATCTAGAAATTTATTGCAGACTGATAAAGGAATCTTGGAGCATTATAATCAGTATACTTAACTGGGTAGCACACACAGAGGTTTGAAAAATCTTTTGAAAAAAAAACACAGAGATAATATGTAAATGTTTATTTGAAAGCAGTAAGAAAAATGCCACATAGAATAAGGTCTTAAAAAGGTATGTGTATAAAAGAATGAGTTCTGGGTATTCATCTTTTTAAATTTTTAGGTATGTTTGATTGTTTTAAAAAATAGATTTATTTATTTATTTATTTATTTATTTGAAAGCCAGAGTTATAGACAGAGAGGGAGAAACAGAGAGAGATTTTTCCATCTGCCAGTTTACTCCACAGGTGCCAAATAACCAGGGCTGAGTCAGGCTGAAGCCAGGATCTAGGAGCTTCATTCATGTCTCCCATGGGGGTGACAGGGCCCAAACTTTTGGGTCATCCTCTGCTGCATCTCTCAGGTCATTAACAGCGTTCTGGATTAGAAGCAAAATAGCTGGGACATGAACCAGTGCCCATATGGGATTCCAAGTGTAGCAGGTGGCAGCTTTACCTGTTATGCCAGATGCTTGTCCTTAAATTTTCATGTTAGTAGCTAATAAACATTATCAGAAATATCAAATATGAACAAAAAATTAAAAATAAATATCAAATACATGTAAAATAATAGCCATAATTCAGAAACAGCAAGTATTCTAAATAATTTATACTTGATTTTAAAAAAAATGATAGAGAAAATAAAACTAGCAGAATTTTCATGTGGAGCCCATGTGTGAAGTTCATTAGTCAAAGAAATCTTGAAATACACTCACATTATGGAATGCAGTTAGTGGCTTTTCTTAGATTCTCAGAGAGCGATGAGTGAGGTAGTTCTTTCCACTTGCGTTACAGAGGTGGGCCCTTAACTTACCTGCTATCTTCAGAGACCTGACAACTCACACATTTAAATAAACCCTGCAGATAGTGTGACAGTGATCAGATCTCCTCATTTCTCACTTAAATTGTCTCACAAGACCATAGGCTACATAGAAAATCAGAACACTTCATCTATAAAATCTTAGAAAAATATATATTCGATAAATGGCACTGTATTTTGCCAATTAAATTTAATTTTGGACAAATTCTTCCTACATGTTAGTTTCCTAGGGGAAAAAAACCAGAATCTTTCATTTCATTATGTGTTCGTATTTGTTACTATTCTAAATAGAATTATAATTAAAGTGCTTTAACTATTATCTTCTCCCATGATTGAGGACCTACCAGAATAAACATGTACGGAAAGAGCTTCCCAATATCCTCATTTGTTTGGTCATTTACTTGGTTCTCCTCTGCCAGCAGTCATATAAGAAATCGTACTATGAATCCATTATTGCACATTTGAAAAACTTATGAAGATTCTATGAAATAAAAATAATGATCAGAACACTAACACATGATGCCTATGTCAGATTTTCAGACATTTTATTTAATAATTTGGTCACAGATCTCCAAAAGAGATACACTGAGAGAATGAAAAAATAGTGCGCTAAGGCATCCATTGTTTGTAATGAGCTACCTTCTGTCCTACATGTCCAGAATTGGAAGCATGGAGATACTGTTGTCACTGAAATTATTTTTTGATTCATGAATTCAGTTGAAGATGCACAGTTGAAAAGGTTAGTAGATAATGTCAAGACACTGAGAATGTAGCCAGGTTTCACATAACTGAAATTGTACTGTTTTTCTATTCATGGATACAGATCTGGCAAAAATATTCCTTTTTATTTAAATATGTATATTCCATGAACATTGTTTAGATATGATATTACTCATTAAGCTTATTTTAGAACCATTAAATACAATTCAGCAGCTACATATCCAGTTTATAAGAATTGCATGTTTCTTCAGGAATTACCTCTGTTATCTTTGAGTATGCATTTTCTCTGACTTTTATGTCTTTCATTGAAATCTTATTAATTTTGCTTGAGACTAATTAAAATTTCTTCATTTCCATTAACTGTAAAGTTTGTTTAGGCTTCAGTAAAAATATATATGTAAAAGGGCATACAAAGTATTTTACATGATTACTCAAATACAACCATTCTCTTCTATTGGTCGTTAAAATTATTGTTAAACAACAATACAGGGCTATACCTTACATTTTCTGTACATTTTATATTCCCAGAACTCATTTGTTTGAGAAAGTCCTTTTTTCTTTATTTTTGAATGATAATTTTACCAGACATAAAATTCTAGGCAGTTTTGTTTGTTTTCATTTTAGCACATTTATAATGGCATTTCTTTCTTTCTTTCTTTTTATTTGACATGTAGAGTTATAGACAGTGAGAGAGACAGAGAGAAAGGCCCTCCTTCTGTTGGTTCACTCCCCAGCTGGCCAGGAGCCAGGTGCTTCTCCCTGGTCTCCCATGCGGGATGCGGGTGTAGGGGCCCAAGCACTTGGGCCATCCTCTACTGCCCTCCCGGGCCACAGCAGAGAGCTGGCCTGGAAGAGGAGCAACCAGGACTAGAAGCTGGTGCCCATATGGGATGCTGGCGCCACAGGTGGAGGATTAACCAAGTGAGCCATGGCGCCCGCCCCCTTCTGATGGCATTTCACTCCCTTGTGCTTTCACAGTTTCTGTGGAGAAGGCCAATGCACTTATCCCACTCATCTGTAAGAAAAGGTTTTTTTTTTTTCTTCCATCTTTTTTCAAGATTTTCTGTCTATAAATTTCTGCAGTTTGAATATGATATGCTGAGGGGTAAATTGTTTCCTATTTATCCAGTTTTGTGTTCCCTGAGCTTCCTGGGTCTGTGGTTTGATGTCTATCATTAATTTTGAAAAATTCTCAGGTCAATATTTAATAAATAGTTCCACATTTTGTCTTTCTTCTTTTAGTATTCTCATTATTCATCTCTTATACCTTTTGAAATTGTCTCACAATTTTATTGGATATTCGGTTTGATTTTTCCAGTCTTTATTTTCTTTGCATTTCAGTTTTGAACATTTCTATGGACATATATTCAAGCTCATCAAATTTTTTTCCCTTAGCTGTGTCTGATACACTGTTTGGCCCACTAAAAGCATTCTTCACTTTGTCTCATTATTTTTGATTTATAGTATTTGCCTTTGAGTTTTTCTGGGTGTCTCTGTTTACTTAAGTGTCCTGGCATTCACTTTTTCTAAGAATATTAATCTTGAAATTTTAAATTTTCTGCCAAATACGAATGAACTTTCAGACATAACTGCATCTGTTCATTATAGTTACTTTTTTTCTTTTTAGAATTTTTTGCTGTTATTATCTTTTGGTATGTTTCGTAATTTTTATTGGAAGCCAGGCATGATGTGCTATATAAAAAGACCTGAAGGAGTTATGCCTCCAGTATAAAGTTATATATTTTATCTTGTGAGAGTTTGAGTTCACTGTTTGCTGTAGCTGTGGTGTTAGAAGACGTAGTTTTGGAGCAAGTGCCAGTGGCATAGCGGGTAAACGGGCTGCCTGCAGTGCCAGAATCCCATATAGTCTCCGGTTTGAGTCCCGGCTGCTCTACTTCCAATCCAGCTCTCTGCTATGGCCTGGGAAAGCAGTAGAAGATGGGCCATGTCCTTGGGCTTCTGAACCCACACGGGAGACCCAGAAGAAGCTCCTGGTTCCTGGCTTCAGATTGGCGCAGCTCTGGCTGTTGCAGCCATCTGGGGAGTGAAGCAATGGATGGAAGACTCTCTATCTCTGCCTCTGCTTTTCAAATAAATAAATAAATCTTTTGAAAAAAAGATTCCTGTGGACAGCATTGTGATGCAACAGATTGTCACCATTTGTGACACTGACATCCCTTATCAGACTGCTGGTTTGAGTCCTGGCTGCCTTGGCTTCCCATCCAGCTTCCTACTAATGTGCCAGGGAAGGCAGTAGAAGACAGCCCCGCCAGCTGGTCCCCTGCACCTCAGGTGAGTGACTAGACTGTGGCTTCTGGTTTCAGCCTGGTCCAGAGCTGGCTATTGCAGCCCTTGGGGAGAGTGAACGAGTGGATGGAAGATCTTTCTCACTCTCTGTGCCTTTGAAATAAGTAAACAAATGAGTCATTATTTTTTAAGAAGGTAAAATTTTGTATGGGGTTCTGTTTACATTTCCTCTGTAGCCTTTGTTTTTTTCCTAGAACCTTCTTTAATAGAAATAATGCCATTAAAAAAAAGAAAACCTACAAACCGACCTCTGTTTTTATATACGAGGCCCACTGATGTGGTATAGGTGCCATAGGAGTTTTGTGATTAAGTCGCAGAGCCTGAGTTGGGTACTCCTCTTTCTCTAGGTAAGTTAGGCTTAGGTAAATTGTAGTCATTTATGTGCTGGTAAAATAGCTTTTCAAAGGATAAACAGATAGAATGCTGAGAATATTTCTTTTCTTTTCTTTTTTCACCTTATAAGAAACACAAGAATTTTTTCCTGATTTTTACAGTAAGAACCTAATAAAACTCTTTGTTAACACTCAGAAAACTGTGTGGAGGCCTCCCCTAAGACTTGGCCTTTTCAGAGTTTTGAACTATTTAACTTTCAAACCCATCCATAGTGAGCCTCCATCAATCATCAAATACAGTTGCAAGTGTCCCCACTGATAAAGGCTCCAGTACTGGGATTCTACTCCTGCTGAGCTGCCTCTTGTCTCTCCAGTTCATATGATAGCAGTTTGCTGGGACGGCCATTCTCAGATGGATCTAGGAAGAGATGCGGACTTTCAGTTTGTTGAGTGCATGTCTTTCTCTTAGTAGAGAGGGCTTTCTTTATATGTGGAACTGCAAACTGAAATTTGGAAGCTCATTTGCAATTTTTTAAAACTTTATTAATTACTAACTCACAATTTCATTTTCGGATTATGAAGCAGTTGCATGGAGAGATTAACTCGGTCAACTTTCTGCAGTGTGGAGGTGGCAGAGCTGGTACTGGGTTCCAGATATGCCGACTGCAAAGACTATTCTCTTCAACAGCATCGTGTTCTACTTCTCCTTGCTAAGAACAAGACGATTGCTAAATACAGTTCCACATTTCTTAAATGAAAATATAAACTTCAGTAAGGTGGTAATATATGGGTATGCATGGATTCAGAAAATATTTGCACCAAAATAAATTTATCATTTAATTTCATTTTCCAAAGAGTCCTTAAAGTGTCTTCATGTTGCTCTACAGAATCCAGGTTAAGGATCGGGTGCTATCTAACTGGATCTGACACAAGCAGATGAAAGATCAGTGGCCAAAGCAGACTCTGTAATCTCAGTTAAAATTTTGGACATAAGCCTCTGAAACTAGCATGTGAAGAAACATCAACAATTCATGGATAATAGAATGAAAAACTAACCTTATTTTGGTGCAAAAATTTGTAATCAATGCAGAAGTTTTCCATTATATGATTTGTCTATGGCCTTTTTAAGGAAACTTTGGGAACTTAGTTGGGAGGGGCAAAAGACTCATGAGTACAGAGTCCTATACTACGTTCCCCTTTTCCCTAGCGGCATAACTGTGTAATTTAAAAGCTTGAATACCAATTCTTGTCATATTTTTCTTTTTTTAAAAAAAAGCCTTATTTATTTATTTGAAAGGCACAGTCACAGAGAAAAAGGGGAGAAAGAGATTTGGGGGGAGAGGGGAGAGTGAGAGAGAGAGAGAGAGAGAGAGAGAGAGAAAGGAAGAGAGCACACTTTCTCATCCACCTGTTCATTCTTCCAAGTATACACAATGGCCAGAGCTAGGTCTGACCAAAGCCAGGAGCCAGGAATTCTATCTGTGTCTCCCAGTTGAGTGGCCAGGAATTCCATCTGGGTCTCCCAGGTGGGTGGCAGTGGCCCAAGTTCGTGGGCTATTTTCTGCTGCTAACCCAGGAGCATTAGCTGGAAGTTGGATCAGAAGTGGAGCAGCTAGGACCCAAACACTGTCATATGGGATCCCAGCATCACAGGTGGTGGCTTAACCCTCTGTGCCACAACAGTGGCCCAATATTCTTTTTATTCTATCTATGTTGTATGTTTTTGCAAAGCTACCTGAAAGTTGTTAGTTTCTTAGGATTTTCTGAGGATTTTGTTAAACCACCATTCACATGAACAGAAATCTACTGTTTTTCCCATAAAATCAGGAAAGACTTTTTAAAAAGTCTCATTTCCTTAATTTTTCTAATTTATATATTATTTCCACAATGTAAGAAGTTTAATAACTATAAAAAATCTATTTATTTGTAGTGCTTTGCTGAATGGACAATAAACATCTGCATTTGGGGAATTAATAAGAAATCCTATCTCTAGAGTTAATTAAGTTTGGTTTTCTAATTTAATCTGATGTTTAGTGTGGTTTTGCAACAATCCAGACTCAACATATCCTAAGACAGGAATAGCAATACGAAAAAGATTGTAAATAGGGCCAGCACTGTGCTGTACTGAGTGAAGCTGCGACCTGAGATACCAGCATCCCATGTGGGTTCCAGTTCCAGTCCTGGCAGCTCCACTTCCATTCCAGCTTCCACTGATGTGCTTGTGAAGGTAGTGGAGGATGGCCCATGTGCTTACATCCCTGAACCTACCATTAGAGATGCAAAGAAAGCTCTTGGCTCCTGGCTTTAGCCTGGCTCAACTCTGACCATTGCAACCATTTGGAGAGTGAGCCAGCAAATGGAAGCTCTCTATTTCTCTCTCTCTCTCTCTCTCTCTCTCTCTCTCTCTTTCTCTCTCTCTCTCTCTCTGTAACTCTGACTTTCAGATGAATGAAATAAATCTTTAAAAAAAAATTCTCTAAGGTGATTTTGAAATGATTACCCATGTATTTCTTCCATTCCTTAAGAAAAAAAAACATTATAAACCTAGGTAACATAATATAGTTTGCAATGCAGTAAATAATACCCTTAAGGAAATGCACTGATTTACAAAATGTTTCAACACTAATTATGCGTCATGTGCTTAGTAGACCATAACAGCTTTCTTTGGAAAATTTGTGTCTCAGTAAGTCCTGCTAAAAACATTTTAGTTTCAAAAGAATTTCAAGAAGCCTTTTGAGTATTGCATTGGCTGCAGTTGGTGGAAAACAAGCATCACATTCTATTTATTTCTAAAAGTATTTCTGGTCTGTCACTTTATTCCTGTAGCCTGGCTTTGAATTTTAGATAAAGTGCCTGCTGACTTGTCTCAAAGTTAGTTAGCAATTATGTATGTGTAACATTAAAATACCCCATCAGCCTGTGTGTCACAAATGACCACAGTGAATGCTTAAATTGATAAAACTGCAAGCAAACAGGCATTTCTCCCTTAAATAAATAACAAATATGATTCTTTTTATTCATTATTCAGACTATCTCTCTGTAAGTGTTGCCTAAAAATCAAATGGTGTTTACTCTGCAAGTAAGAGTTGGAAGAAGTTCAAATGTCATAGTATTATCAGGTGCTTCCCAGATGAACAGGTGGCTGATGAGGTCTCTTGTTTAAATTTATTCATTTTTTGTAAGATAGAGCAGCAGAGAGATAGAAGGGGAAGGAGGGGAGAGAGAGAGAGGGAGAGAGAGCGAGCAAGAGCTAGTGCAAGCGAGCTTCCATTTACGGGTTCATTCCCCAGATGGCCACAATGACCAGGGCCAGGCCAGGTGGAAGCCAGGAACCAGGGGCTTCATCCGGGTCTCCCACATGAGTGGGAGGGGCCCAGGCTCTTTGCCATCTTTGGCTGCCTTTCCCAGGTCATTAGCTGGGAACTGGATCAGAAGTATAGGAGTTGGGACATGAACAGTACACATATGGGATGCCAGTAGCCCTGGCAATGGCTTTACCCATTACGCCACAATACCAGCCCCTACAGCTCTTCTTTTTTATCCTTCATTTCTAACTAAGAGTGCACTGCCTACAGATTATGTCTGTGAGAGCCTTGACTCTTGGTAGGGCTCAACCGCTATTAAATAGAATTTAGTATAATCTGCATTTAGATTTATTTCTCTTTGTCAAACTGCCTAGTTATTACCTAACATTAAACCACTTAGTTCTAAAAATAGTTATTTTAAGATATCAAATAATACTGCTGTCTATTAAAATTCTATATTCCATATTAAGTTTCTATATCATTCTTAGGATAAAGTAATTGGCCTACTTATTAACAATTAATCATCATCAATGGGATTGTTAATATTAATGACCTTAATGTTATAAATCTTAATATGCAAGTTATAGTAATGCCTTTTCCTCAGTTATCGTTATTTTTGATGATAATCATCCAAAATATCAAATATATTTCTTTATTATTTGGTATAAAACTTCAGTAAAGATGTTGCTGGAATTACCTTTAAATTCATATTTGAGTTACTGGACTCATTATTTCAAACCTCTTGGTCTGAATCAATATCAGTAATGATTCATTCTTTTGATTAAGAAGTGACTGTCTGTAGATGTCAGATAATTACCGAGATGACCTATAATGAGAAGATTTCACAACTTTCTGACTTAAGTTTCTTATTCCCTCAACAGCATAATGACTTCCTCCTAGATCTTTTTACAGTGTCTCTATGCTCCTGGGGTTTCTTTTTATGATCAGTCACTATCAAGGGTTGCTCCTATCATCTGTTTTTAGACAAAGAAATGTTGTGGTTCTATACAATAAAAACTGTGTTTTGTCTGTGTTTTAGAATTCTGGCATATTTCCTCATTTTTTTAAAAAAAGGTTTGTCCTACACATCTGTATATAAATTGTGTATAACTGCAACAGTAAAAGATGATACAGGATACCCTTTACTATTCAGTTAAGTGCTCTGAGGGGAATTAAAGTGGTTTCTTTTATATAAAATATTAAGATTAGAAATGCAAGATGTTCTTCTGATCCTGTCCCTTAGGAGTGTGGTATTTAAAAGTAAGGAAGGAAAAATGATAACATCTTGATGACACTCACTATGAATCTCAAAACTCATTGCAATACCAATAGACAAAGAGCACTTTGTAGGTGAAATCATGCTACACTTGATCTTAGCCAAAAAGCCAAGAAGCAATGTAAAATCATAAATTGTTGTTAAATCACTCGATTCTTTCTTAAACAATTTCCAGGAAAATAACATTGCACCAATACTATGTATTTTTTAGAATTCATAATATGTTTTAAGAATTGAGATTAGTCACTAATGATAAAAAAAAATCTTATTTGTTAGACACATTGTATAGTTTTTGTCCCTAGCGCTAAAACATGAATCATTTCTTTATTGGTCTTTATAGTGATAGATTTTCCATACCCGTCAGCTTTGTGGCTTATTTCTCCCCTAGTTAATAACAAGTAAAAATAAAGTAACTGACTTCGTTTGTATTCTGTGTCTGTGTTAAAGCAATATGGAAGGAAGCCTAATGTTCATATAGGTTAAACATATTTGACATTATTTTGAATATTTAAAAATTGTTTATTTTCTAGGACGAACTTTGATGAGAAATGTGGTCCCCATTAATTTCTAGATCCTGTACTAACTTCTGAAATCCTCAAAGTGATGAAACAGAGATATTCGTTATTTTTTATGATATTTGCATTCACGTTAGGTAAGAAATATGCATAAAGAATTAGAAATTCAGTAAGGATGATGACCCAAATGACATTTCTGAGCTTATTTGCCAAAACCTACAAATTAAACATACTTTATACCGTATTCAGTAAAATTATGATTTGTTGGAGTAAATCAATATTAAAACAAATACAATCAAAAACACACAAACCACCCAGAGACATCTCATCCTTCTCTAATTTGCAATACTCCTCTCAGTCTTGGATCTTACTTTAAAAATTATATTCATAAATGCTACCAAATTAAACCAGACATGTTGAGATGCTTCCCACCTTTGATTATGAAAATTAATCAAAGTAATGTACGATATTGACAGAGTGAGGAGGATGGTGACCTGGGTGATGGCTCCATCTCTTTCTTGTTTTCGTTTTTTTTTTTTTCTTAAAGATTTTATTTATTTATTTGAGAGTTAGAGTTATAAACAGAGAGATGGAGAGACGGAGAGAAAGATCTTCCTTTCTCTGGTTCACTCCCCAAAAATGGCCAGCTGGAGCTGGGCTGATCCGAAGCCAGGAGTCAGGGGCTTCTTCTGGGTCTCCCACGCAGGTGCATGGACCCTAGCACTTGGGTCATCTTCTGCTGCTTTCCCAGACATATAAGAGAAAGCTGGATGGGAAGAGGAGCAGTCGGGACATGAAACAGTGCCCATAATAGAAGCCAGTGCCGCAGGTGGAGGCCGAGCCTGTGCTGGCTCCCACTTCATCTCTTTCTACAGTTTTTAGTGCTGAAGAGAGTCCATGTTTTCATCTAAAATGTGTGGACTTTCTACTTGAATCTTTGTATTCTTTCCATCACACACTTCTTCCAAATGACACACATCCCAGAACAGAGTTCATCTTAAGTCCTAAAAAGCAAACACCATGGGTAGTGCTTCCGTGCAGAGGGTTAACTGCTGCTTGCCTTGCTGGCATTCCATGTGGATGCTGGTTTGAGTGGCAGCTGCTTCACTGCCCATCCGGCCCCCTGCTAATGCACCTGAAAAACAGCAGAAGATGGCCCAAGTGCTTGGGGCTCTGCTACCCACATGGAGACACAGATGAATCTCCTGGATCCTGGCATTGGTCTGGCTGTTGCAGGTATCTGGGGACTGAACCAGCGGATTGAAGGTGTTTCTCTGTCTCTTCTCACCTTTGTATCTCTGCCTTTCAAATAAATAAATAAATTTAAAAATGAGTAAATAATTAATTAATTAAAAAAGCAGTCAATTGATAAGGTATGAAATCACAATTGGTGGGGTTAGTGCTGTGGTGTAGCAGGTAAAGCTGCCGCCTGCAGTGCCGGCATCCCATATGGGTGCCGGTTCAAGACCCGGCTGCTTCACTTCTGATCCAGCTCTCTGCTATGGCCTGGGATGCCGGCACTGCAGGCAGCGGCTTACCCACTACATCACAGTGCCAGCCCCGACAGAGTGTTTTAGCAGGAAGCTGGATTGGAAGCAGAGACAGAACTAGAACTAAGTACTCTGGTATGACATGTGGATATCTCAAGCAGTTTCTTCACTACTGTGCAAAAAGTTCACTTCTGTATAATTTTTTTTTTCTTCATTACTCTGACAGAGGGAAAGGAGGTGATTTGGAAACTGGATTAATTTTCTTGAGCTGCCATAACAAAATACCACACATTGAGTAGCTTAAAACACCAGAAATTTATTTTCTCAGTTCTGGGAGGTAGAAGCCTGAAATCAAGTTTTCAACCTCATCAGCTCCTTCTGGGGAGCATGTTTTGTGCCTCTTTCATAGTCTCTGATGATGACTTAACACGTCCAGGGCTCGGCCCCAGGCCCAAGTCAGGAGGAACCAGGTATTCAATCCAAGTCTTCCACTTGAGTGGTGGCACCCAACTACTGGAACTATCACCTGCTGTGTTTCAGGATTTCCACAGGCATGAAGGTGACATTGGAAGCTAGAGCCAGGCATTGAACCCAAGTACTCCAACATAGAATATGGACATTTTAGCTTGTGTCTTAACCACTAGGCCAAAGCCCACACCTTTTTTGTTGTTGTTGTTTTTGTTTGTTTGTTTGTTTTGTTAGTCTTAGAAAAATCTTGTCGAAAGAAATGGGAGTGCTAAATGCAGGTGTTACAGTAAGAAGCCGCTCTAGTCTCTTATGCTTTATGCTTTAAATTTTGAAGCAAGCTCAGGAAGGATCTCCAGGGAGCAGAAAGCTACACTGTGCATTTCATGTTCTCCTCTGTTACGTGCTAGGGTTCAGAAGATAAGAGAACATCTGAAAGTCATCCGGATAGGAGCCTTTATTCCCAAGAGATTACCAGAGATCTACAGTGCTGCCTTAATAACCTTACAGTCCACACAGCCATCCTGAGAACGAGTCATTGCCTGCTTTCCATCTGAGTGCTTGAACTTTAATAAGAACTTTATTGTTTTCTGTGAGAAACTATAAAATCCGAAAAATTCCTCAAAACTTCACACATGGGTAAGTCCACTGCCTCTCATCAAGAGTTCTATGGTCTCCTAGGGCAAATTTCAATTTCACTAGGCTTAGCACACTTTTAGGATATGGCCCAACAATGAGTGTGTGTGTATATATATATATATACACATATACATATGTATATACAGTATTTCCTCCACATTAGATTAATTGCTGCTTATCTCCTTTTCATTTTTTTAATTTAGTTACCCTATAATTCTCTGACTGTGCATTCAACAAAATTGTTATGGGAACTTTGCTGTGCAGAAGGATAAGATGTCAGATATCACTAACTAACTAGCTATGCTGTCTTCTTGGGTGGCCAAGAATATTGTGGATTAGGAAAATTTCCTTTACAAACTGGTATTAAAAACACCTGTATTGAATCTATATTACTGTTCATTATTAGTATTTCCAGCTCAACATTCAAATATGAAATTTTAAAATTGAATGATGTGTTAATGTACCAGTGGATACAGAGGCTTAGTTAAAATGGTATTAGGTAAGCAAGTTGTTTGTTATTTAAAGGAAGAGTAGGATTGCTCTGTGATGCATTATTTATTTATCATGCCAAATGTGAGCAAGTCTTTAAAGTTTTCCTCTTTGTGGAATATTCTTGACCTCCTTCCTATGCAGAAAGACTCAGATTTTACACAAAGGAAGTGTGATGAAGCTTTCCTGATGCAAACTCACTACCAACAAAGGTAAAGCTTGCGCATGTTATGATGGACCACTCAACAAGCTTGCTTAACTTTAGCATCATGTTGACAAGATAACCCACAGATCACTATGTTTTTTCATTTGGGTTGATGTGCTTTACTATCTTTTTAATAAACATAGGGGTTAAATGTCTGTATGTTGTCTTTAAGATGTAGATATTTTTCAACATGTTAAAAAAATAGAAATTTATCCTAAGATATGCCATTCATTTTAACTTTGCTGCTTCTTTTGGAGGGAAGGCATTTAGAAACACAGCAAAGTTTTTCTCCTTATTTTCCTTTCCTTTTTCCATAATATGGGTCATAATTGTATCGAATGTGATAGCTTTTAGCTTGTGTCTGTGTCTATTTTGGGATTTGATATTTGTGAATTTGTCAAGTTACTGAAGTTTATTTGCAACTTCCAAACCAATGTCTGTGGTGCTAACCTGCTCATTCAAGGCAATAAACTTGGATTAAAACATGCCTACATTTATGTCTCAGCTGTCTCTTTGTAAAGGAGTGCTCTTCTACTGGTCTGTGTAGCACCACATTGCTTGCATTTTTGTGCTTTTTGTTGCTGATCTCACCTTGTATACTCCTTACTATCATGGTGTTGATCTATTGTCCTGTGTCTCTAAGCACAAGAAGGATGTATTTTGCTTTACAGAAAAAAAAGCATACTTGATAATTAAGTTTTGTTCAGTTCTGATTTATAGTGTTGTTGACCATAGTTTTACTGTTACTGATTTAACAATATGTATTAAGTAAGGTGTCTTTATACATAAATACTCCTAAAGCTACTGATCAGTTGATGAAAATGTTTTAGTCAAAGGTTTATAGGAACATAATTCTGTGTATCCTCTAAGAGCAATGGTTCACTGATTCAGTGTTCATGGCAACTGCACGTAACTATTTACGATTTTTGCAAATAACTACAATTAATTTTATGTTGAAATTTAATTTTCAGAAACCTTAAAAAATTCATCTTAAATAATATAAACTGATCATGTGCAACATTTTGAAGTAATCATTTATGAAAAATCAAGAAAATTTGCAAAAGAGAAATCCAGAAATAGATTTTTTAATTGGCCAGTCATGAATGCAGAAAATAATTTATAATAAATACAAAACTAATTAATTTCTTTTAAAAGGACTATTAATTAATTTAACAAACAGAACAACAGAGAGGGACAGATAGAGAGAGGAAAAAGGCATCCTCTGTCTGCTACCTTTCAGGTGCATTAGCAGGAAGCTAGATGGGAAGAAGATCAGGCAGGACTGCAGCTAGCACTGCTGTACACGATGCCAGTACTACAAGCAACACGTTAAACTGCTGTGCCACAACGTTGGCTCCAGGAATTAATAACTTCTTATACAACAAGTAAACATAGTATTTGGTATTATCTTTCCTATGAGATAAAATTTATTTGAATATATTTATGTATACATACATATATATATATATGTATAGCACATTATCTTGTTAACTTTGGTAAGTCCAAGATCTTCAATCAACAATCATTCGATTTTTTAAAAAGATTTATTTATTAATTTGAAAGAATGTTGTTGGCACAACATGAAGAGGTCTGCAGGGAGGTAAAAGCAAAACAAAACGGACTGGATGCTGCAGTCAGCCTCAGAGGTCTAGCAGTGCTAGAGTTTGCCAGATGAATCCTGTTCAAAGGGGAATCTCTTTGTAACAAATGGACAAGGGTATATGCAGAAGTTGTAGCTATAGCTACTGGCATGTTTCAGGAGAATGAAACCTTGTCATTAATGCCATTTTGTGCAAGATATGACTCTTCCATCAGATGTGAAAACCTATCACAGTAAAAAATTTCAAGAAAAGCTGATGTCCTATTAAAAAGCAGTAGGGCATTGACTAATTCATTTCTCCCCATCACCTCCAACACATAGCACCAGCATACACTCTTTTAAAAGATTTATTTAGTTGAAAATCAGAGTTAGAGAGAAAGAAAGAGAGAGAAAGTTTTCCATATGCTGATTCACTCCCTGAGTGGTTTCAATGGCCAAGACCAGGCCAAGCTGAAGGCAGGAACTAAGAGCTTCATCATGGTCTCCCAGGTGAGTGTAGGGTTCAAGGACTTGGATCCCAGGTCATTAGCAGGGAGCTGGATCAGAACTTGAGCAGCCAAAATACGCACCAGTGCCCATATGGCATGCTGGCACTGCAGGTGGCAGCTTTACCTGCCATAGCACCAGCTAGTCTAATTTTTAATATTATGGTCTTCCCAGGGCACTGCAATTCTTTCAGCATCCACATCAAAAGTATGATAATATCAGCAAATGACAAATCTAGTCTGTTAAGTAAACAACTGGTGCAAGAAAATAAAGCTAATGCAAGCCTTTATTTGGAAATTTTTAGTATTACTGGGTATATATTTTACTTTCTATTTAAACTACTGCAGGATCATAATGTTTTAAAAGATAAGGCAAATCATTTAAATAAATTTTACAATGTATTCAATTTACAAATTACATGCAAAAGTATGTCAAATCTTCACTGATAGGAAATAATTTAATTATAAAAGTTAAGAATTATGCCAAGCGCTATGGTTTGGCGATATCCTCCAAAGTCCATGTGATGGAAACTTAATCCCCAATGTAACGAGGTTGAGTAGTGGAATCTTTAAGAGGTAATTAATAGAGTTATGCCATTATCACAAGAGTGAGTTTGTTATAGAAGTGAGTTCAGTTCTCTCTTGCTGTCTGTCACCATGTGGTGCCTTCTGCCTTGTGATGACATAGAAAGAAAAGTCTCACTGCCTTCCACTTGAGGATCATGTACATCTGAGTCTCCAGGACCATGAGCAAAACAAGTGTCTTTTCTTTATCAGTTACTCAGTCTGTGATACTCCATTACAACAGCATTGCACAGACTAAGAAATGAAGTTCATGGCAGTTCATGGGCAAGCTTCCCTTTTCTGATCTGTGCAATTAATCATACATTTTATCTGCATCACAATCTCTCTTTTTTAGTCCTTAAATTTCCAAGAAACAGCCACATGTCTAGAGGGTCTTTTGGATAACAAAATTTCATATATAACATCCAGAGACTATTATTAATAATAAATAATTCTTCACACACTTGATCATAGCCAAAAGGCCGAGAAGCGATATTAATAAACTATTCTTTAGCTAACTTCTTCTAATTATCATAGAGCTTGTTGAAAAAACAATTTCCTGTTAGCTTCCACTTCTTCATCATGCATTGGCAGCTGAACTCACTTCAGTGAGATTTTGTGTCTGTTTAGAAGAAGTTCTCACTAAGGTTACCAGTGAGCTTGCAATATCCTAATCTTCTGAATATTTTCCAGGCCTTTTCAATTGTTTTTTAAAAGATTTATTTATTTGAAAGTCAAAGTTACACAGAGAGAGGAGAGGCAGAAAGGGGAGAGAGGTCTTCCATCTGCTGGTTCACTCCCCAGATGGCCATAATGGTCAGAGCTGCGCTGATCCGAAGCCAGGAGCCAGGAGCTTCTTCCTAGTCTTCCACGAAGGTGCAGGGGTCCAAGGACTTGGGCCACCTTCTACTGCTTTCCCAGGCCATAGCAGAGAGCTGTATCAGAAGTTGAGCAGCCAGGTCTCGAACTGGCACCCATATGGGATGCCGGCGCTTCAGGCCAGGGCTTTAACCCACTGCGCCACAGCACCAGCCCCATGGCCTTATCAATTGTTATCTCATATCACCTGACAGGAATCTCCCAAGTTTTCAAAAACATGAATTGATTAACTCTTGTCTCCAAACACACAATATACAACTGCAAGCTTCAAGAATACCTTTTTAAAAAAAAAATGTAAATTCTTGTTTCAGAATTTCAGACTAAGACTAATATATTCCGACTTCTGGATAGTCCACATTCCTTATAATGCTTATGCAGAAATTCCTGGTAGGAATACATGGATGTAGAGGTTCTTGAGAAAGATTCATTCCCCAAGCAACTTGGAGTCTGTTGTGTGTGACCTTTGATAAATTATTCAACATCTATTACTTCTTATAAACAATGTGAATATTAGTAACCATAATTGCTATAGTTTTCAGGGATCTGTTTGTGTCTTAGCCAGCATGTGCTCAGTGGTTTTCCTATATCCTGTTTCTTCTCAAAGCAAATCTAGAAATAATACATCATTACAATGTTCTTTTTCTATGTTTAGAGTGTGAAGTTTTAAATCTTGGAGGACTCTCCATAGGTCACAGAGATAGAAATTGGAGGCACTGAGATTTTAGTCCTAGAGTATTTAACCAAAAGTTCCCAACCTGAAAACATGGTTATGCTATGA